CTGAAATATATATATATATATATATATATATATATATATATATATGTAAACTTTGTTATTATATATGATTATATGATATGCGCATGTTTACAAGCCTCTCTGTGGAAAATGGATTGAGATTAACCAGCATGAATATCCGTATATATATATATGTAAATGTGCGTGTGTGTGTGATGATGATGATGATGATGATGATGATGATGATATTAATTTCTCTCCGAACAAGTGCTCTAGAGGAAACCTAGTAGACCAGTCTCATCACGTGTGGTAAAAATATGTTTCTTAACAAATGCGTATAGATGGCAATGTGGCCGATAAGAAATCGTATAATTTCTCACTGAATGTGGAGAATGATTGAAGAGGGAAAAAGACGAGAAAGGAAATTAATCAAAAGATGGTTAATGGAGAGAGAGGGAGAGAGGGAGAGAGAGAGAGAGAGAGAGAGAGAGAGAGAGAGAGACCTTTGAAGCAGGAGAATCAGGGAGAAGGGTTCCGAGAGCGAGGTAAGATGCATGGAGCTTCATCCTCCTCAGCCGCTCCTTGGCGTTATGCTCTTGTTTCTTTGCACAGCTTGAGCCATCTTCTTCATGATCACGCTCATCATGCTCATGCTCATGTTCATGCTCATCATCCGCTACTACTGCTGCCACTTCCTTTCCTCTTCCTCGACCCCTTGTCTCCTGATGATGAGCAGCTGTTTCCGATGTCGTCTTGTTCTGAAGATGATGATCAGACGCAACATGTTCTTGATGATGATGATGATGATTCATGGCTTCTGCATAATCTCTGTCGAAATGATGATCAAACAATATCTTAGTAGAAGTTTCTTGACGATGATCAGTGAATTGGAGCAAGTAGTGATCCATCATCGGATCCTCCTCATGTTCTTCATTGGGTTGGGAAGACATATCTCAAGACTCAGATCGATCTGATGATCTTGTCGTCTTCACAGACAAAACCCAGATTCATCGTTCGATAATTATAACAGTACAAGAACCCAAAAGAAGAACAAAAAGAGATGAGGATTTATATATACATATATATAATACGTATAATGTATATTAGCACGATTCAAGAGAGAGGAAAGGGGCCCCGAGTCAACGAAAGGGAGAATAAGTCGACGTCTTTAAATAGCTACAAAACGGATGTACTAATTTATGTTTATTTAATTTAATTTGGAGCAATTAATACACATTAATTAGACTAATACCGAATATTATAATCATGGCACTGTAGTACAACCCTAAGGTCTTCTCTCCTATATCGCGAATGGTATAAAACACTCTGTCCAAGGCATTTGCAGAAATATACATACATATATATATATACAGTACTATTTTATATGTTTATGAATTATCATAAGAAATTGCTTGTTTTTAAAATAATATAAAAATGGATTAACATTTTCATTTTTATAATATCAACATATATAAATTAACCATCGTTCACAAATTATACAAATTAATATATATATATATATATAACATATAAAAAATAATGCTCAATCCAAACACATCATGCATCCAATAAAAGCTCATTCAGTTATATATATATATAAACTCCATAAACATATAACAAGAGGATCAAAAGCATGGCGTGTGTTAATAAGAGTAATGTTTAAGAAGTTCCAATCAAATATTGAGTTTGCTACCATGAGAGGATGATGATGCATATATTTGACCTTCCTCCTCTCCGCCGTCTCCGGCACCGGCGTCGGCGCCTCATCCTCCTCCGCCGCCGCCTCCGTTCACCGGAGATCTGGTTTCACATTGTGGTGATGATAATGGGAGTTGTAAATGTCTTTTTTTTTTCTTTGTGAGGCAAATACAGAGCTAGTACCGATGTTTGTATGTATGATCTTGCAGTACAAATGGGTTAAGATGGTAGTACAGTCTCCTCCCGTATGGGCTTTAATATTTTAATTACGTTTATTTTTATTTTTATATATATAACCCATGTACGTGCAACTTATACATATATATTCACATATTTTATTTATATTCCAATTGTATTTAATTAGCGCAACTTAATCCTAAAATTAAGGAGTTAATTAAATATACATATGTGTGTTTTGTTATTGGCTTATTATTGTCTATGATTAGCTGGAACTCCAACCACAAGCATGGAATGTTTGTATTAATTACTCATCTTGTCCTAAACATTTCCCTTTATTTTATCATCTACCTTCACATTCCATCAAATAAATAAAACCCTGCAAGCATCTTAGTTCCCATTCTTACAAATTTGGACCTGAATTATTAGTCAATGTAATCAAACATATATATTTTCAATGCATTGAGAAAGTTGAAATATCCCAAATGCATAACGGTTACAAACTACTAAAATCTCAAAATTTCGGTTCTATAGTTTTCATATTTAATAATTTTTAATTTATAAAAATTATATCTATTCAAATTTTATATACAATTCCGATTCTGTTTGCGTTCGATTTTTGTTAAAACAAATCCCAAATTTTAAATATAATAATGTGGTTTCTATTTGTTTTTTCGTTTATATTTAATTTTATTCGATTGGCGTATTTAGTTTGGTATTAAAAATGTTATATCCAATCATATTAAAATCTAAATAGACTCTAGATTTTTTTTTATTTTTCATAACTGAACGAGAATATAACCCGTCCTAATATATTCCCACCAGACCTAACACAACACAATCAAAGTCACAACTTATTTAATTTAATAGTCGTTTACACACACACACACACACACACACATATATATATGTAAATGTGCGTGTGTGTGTGATGATGATGATGATGATGATGATGATGATGATATTAATTTCTCTCCGAACAAGTGCTCTAGAGGAAACCTAGTAGACCAGTCTCATCACGTGTGGTAAAAATATGTTTCTTAACAAATGCGTATAGATGGCAATGTGGCCGATAAGAAATCGTATAATTTCTCACTGAATGTGGAGCAATATTCCGTTCGGGTTCAGTTTGGGAATGATTCGATTCGTTTCTTTCGGTTTCATAAAAATCTGTATCGATCGGTTAATATTTTATTTTGGGTCCGGTTCAGTTTCGATTTTTATTTTAAAAAAATCTTTATAAAAAAATCTGAAAAACTGATTTTTTTTTTTAAATTCGATTTCTGAAATTCGATTTTTTTTTAAAAAAATACCGTTGGAAAAATTTAAACAGTTTGATAAAAAAAAAACATCACATTTTTTCGATTTGATACGGTTTGGTTCTGACCCGTACCAAGAGTAACGAACGGCCAACGGAAAAGATGGGCGTTGAAGCCCTATCCCTGACGCCGTTATCGGTATTGAACACTAACGCTACGAACTTTTCTACCGCCGTCAAGTTGTTTATATGGAGAACAAACAAAGTAAACTATTTCGGTTTGGTTTGGTTTGGTTTAATAGCTTTGGTTCATTATGACGCCAGCGGTTTCGGTTTTCCCTCCCTCCCTCCCTCTCTCTCTCTCTCTCTCTCTCTCTCTCTCTCTCTCCGTGAACGCGCAATCTTTCTTCTTCAACCACCGGAAACAGAGAGCGATCTCTTGCTCCGCCTCACAATAACCGTCTCCGCCGCCGAAATTTTGCGTGATGTACTTGGTTCTTTCTTCAATCTCTCTACAATTCGGAGGTTTCCTGGCATCGTGTCCGATTATACCGAGATGTCAACGGAACTGCTACGGACTCCAATGCGCCGCTTGCGAGGCCCAAGGAGGACAGCATCGCGGACATGATCGATCGGGCGCTCGAGAAAGAGCTTACAGAGAACGATCAGATTGAAGATTTCGACTGACTGGATCTTCAATGTTCTGCATTCTTGCGTTTCCGCATTCAGATGTTTAGCTGTCGCTATCGAACTAGGGTTCAGCTTATCCACGTCTAACTTCATTTCTCGTAGGTTGTGAATGAATTTCGAATCTTTGCTCATATTCACCAAACTAGGGTTCAGCGTGGTGGATTTCGCTGAATCCATATGATCTAGGAAACTGGGAATTTTGTAATTTTTCATCTTCAACCGATTAGAACACATCTCCTATGTAAATTATGCGAATTCAAATAGCGGTCATCACATTAATGGATTGTTGTTTCTGTCCAGGTTAACGATTTTGATTGCATATTTGGCAAACTCCGTACATGGGTACCTTGGTTTCTTAGCCGTGTGGACAAGCCTTTCATCTCAGGTATACAAAACACAAAGCTTATGTTTGATTTGAATGCCTCAAATGCACAAAACCCGATCTTAATTCCGACTTCTTCAGTGCAGTGTTATGATCTCAACGGCTGAATTGAGGCGTGTTCTGTCTTCAGAAACTCGAGGCTTGCCCATCGGCTATCAACCCTCTTTCGATAGTGTCATGCTTTATTGCAGTGGGGATAACTGATCAATGATTCAGTACTCGTGTAAGAACTAATTACTAGTGATAATGTTGTTACTTACGGAATAGAACTGTATTCATGTTCTCATTATATTTGTGAACTGTCTCAGAAAACCCGATCAGCCGATCTTATTCCGACTTCTTCAGTGCAGTGACAAGTTGGATTCATTCGCCCCGGGCCATTATGATCTCAATGGCTGAATTGAGGCGTGTTCTGTCATCGGAAACTCAAGTAAGAATTTCTCTGCTGCAATTTTTTTCTTGCAAGTAGTTGATCAAACTTATTAGTTTCATCTCATAAAAACTTTTCTCGGTTTTGGGAATGAATGAACTGTTATTGCAGAGCAAACTGTACACATGCTGTTTCTTGTATTGCTTCAAGTCCGGTTATGTTGTCCCCCTCCCCCAAATTCTTCAATTTAAAGTTCCAGACTTTATCACTTTTTCAACCTAATGGCCTTTGATAGAACCCTAGGGTTTCTATCAAGGAGTTCAAGAAAGTCTTTTTTTGTATGCTTTGCAATCAAACTTCTCTTGATGATGCCTTGATTGCATGTAAAGAAAAAGCCTTCCCTTTTACAGGGAACACAAGTTGTGGCTGAAACCCTAAATTAGTCTAAGCATGTAAAGAAAAAGCCTTCCCTTTTACAGGGAAAAGTTGTGGCTGAAACCCTAAATTAGTCTAAGGCTCCCAATTATTCCTAAACCCTAAATCTCAATATAAAGAATTAAGCAAAACAAAACCTCAAAAGCTCTCTAAGTCAGATGATCCGTGTTCCTCATCCATGGCGGCTGCTGCTGCTTCTGCTGGCTCGTCATGTGGTGTCATCCATAAGCCGGCCCATGTCCGAGATTGGATCATCCTTTCCACCCACTGAGCCTTTTCCATGATCTTTCTCAGCCCCAATTCTTTCAAAAGACGCACTATTTCTGCAATCTCCGGCTTGAGACCACTTAGAAAGGCCGCCTTTCTAAACTCATGATCATCCGCCCGGCTAGACGGGGCTTGAATCTGGTCGAACCTTCTCCGATACTCCATGACCGAACCCGTCTGCTTCAATTCCATCAACTCCTTATAAACCGATCCGGAATGTCCCTTCACGAATTGCCTCAATGCCCTCACCTTGAAATCCTTCCAATCGGCGAAAGGCTCGTCTCTGTCCTCGCACGTGTACCAGATCAATGCCTCACCAGCCATGCTGCAGTAAGTGAGCTCTAGCCTCTGCTCATCCTCCGTGATTTGGGACAAGTCGAAGTACCTCTGGGCCTGCATCATCCATTCTACTAACGCCGGGTTTTCCCCGTTGAAATCGGCTAGCTCGACTTTCTTGGGTCTCAAGTCAACGTGCGGGCTGAGACGGAACATCCGACCATCGAGCCAGCCCTTCTCCACTTGTCCCACGTCAGACCCCTCAAGCTTCTTCTCCTCCATGGCTGTTTGACTGCGTTTTTTTTTCTCCCAGATTTGTCTCTGATAACGGAAAGGAGTCTCCTCTAGATGCTCATATAGAAGATATACAAGAGACCATCCATAACAAGGAAATCTAATAACTCTCTCTCCTAGTCCTAGATGTTTTAGATAAATTAGAGAATATTTTAAACATTCCAAAACACCCAATTAATTAAATAAATAAGATATCCAGCTTAATGATAGAATTTTAAAAATCACTCTCCGTTTTTAATGGGGAATAAATGCAGAGAGCATCTTTCTAACAATAGTAGCGAATCACTTCATGATTCCTCATTCCTAAAAAAAAGAACACAACCCATGGCAAAAAAAAAAAACACAACTTACCCACATGTGTGTGGTCTGTGGTCGAGTGGTACCTGAACTGGAAATGAAGGTGTTTCTCCTCTAGGTTAGGGGTTCGAATCCAGACATGCGGGGAGGGAGAGGCGTAGCCAAAGGCTGCGTGTTAAAAGGCTGCTCCCGGGTCAAGAGAGATGTAGGTTGGGCCGAAGACCCAGGTGAACTTCCTGGTTTGACAAAAAAAAAACACAACTTGGAAGCCTGTTTACAATGTTGGATTTTTTATTTGGATTACCCGGTTTGGTATTGACAGGGCTGTTAATTTTGGTCATCCGATCCGAATCCATCTGAAAAATATCATGGTTCGTATATGAATTTATAGATCCGAAAAAATCGGATTTTTATACGGGACTCAAATCAGACTTCGAACCGATTCAAAAACCCGATTTATTTTAACAAATTAAATACGAAAAAATTATCATTGTACAAAGAAGGTATTAACTAGGTAGATCCCATCCGAGTCCTATAGGATAAAATTTCGGGCTTGGTTTTATAGGCTCGAAAAAATCGAACCGAACTGAATCCAAAATCCTTAGACCAAGTGTAGGTTCGGGTAGATCCATCCCGTTTGTCACACTAAGTAGTTGTGAAGACGAAGCGAAGAAAAAGGGAGAGGACAGATGAATGAATATCCGATTTTCGAATAATTGAGTCCCGAAGACCGTTCGGATACTTAACTAGTGAATCGAGTCACGTACTCAAATATTTGGATTTGATGACAGAGGACATCATAATTCAGTCAAGAAATGAACAAAACGCAAAAGGAAATCTTCCATTAACTTGGATTTAAGAAATGTTTTTCCAGTCAAAACACAAGAAGGAAGGAATAACAGCAAAACTTGCAACATACAGCAAACATGGACGGTTGAGCAAATTTCTCAGCCTCTCTAATGGTAATGGAAAAGAATGGGCAAATCTCTCAGGAAACATGGTGGGCAGGGATTTGCGTACATCTCTGAATGAGAGCTTATATTCAATCTTTTTTTTTTAAAAAAAAAAACAACAACAAACGATTTCAGTGCATTTTGTAGTGTTGAGTCCTTGACACCTTACAGTGCTTTCCATCCAGAGAATAGTTGAGCTTTATGTCGACATCACGTGGATTCTTCTTGTTAGGAGTCACAGTCATGCTTCCATTGATGGTCTCGCCCTCGCATATCGTGAGCACATCTTCCAGGTACAACACCGTCTGTTTCCAGTGTGTAGCCCGTGATTTTGGCCCTGCATCGTATCTCATAGAAATCAGCAACCCTTTCAAACATTTGTCTGAACCCGAGGGATTGGTGAAATTTGAACCGATCATAAACTTTGCAGAGAGATTTGAACCTGTTGAGAAACCCATCAGTTTGTGACAGTTGGTGAATGAAACATCGAAGTAGGCAACAAGGGCATGAATGTAGTCATTGCGTTGTGCAACAAGCTTGAATGGAGCTGTGAAGGAAGCCTCTTGAGAAGACATCTTTGAGATATCCATGGTCTGACCAAAAACCCGATCAAAATGTGCATTAGCCATGGAAAACCCGATCGAAATGTGTATAGCATGAGTATATATCTTACCTTCAGGAGCTTGGAATCAGTGACAATTTGATTTTGGTTAACAGTGTCAACAAGTGGTTCCATTATAGCCTTTTTCTTGATGCATCTCATGTCAAAACCATACACCTTATTCCAAACTGTAGTAGTAGTAGTAGTACAGAAAAGGCCACGCCGGTTACTACGCAGTTTCAACAGAGACAAGTACAAGGAAAAAACCCGACCGCAAGAAAGATTACCGTATTAAGAAATTGAGAAACCTCAATACACTTACATTCTATTTTGTCTTCTTTATATTCTGAATCCTCTATGGCTGTAATATACAGAGAAGCTTTGTCTGGAAGAACAATTCCACCATCAACCTAACCAAAAACAAAAATGGCAGCATTCAGTAAACTATTCGGACACTTATTTCAGCGTGTAACTTCCATGAAACTATAGATAACAGATGGGTAGCGACCACTTACAAGCCATTTATTACGAGCATACAAGACAGTCTCCAACATATTTTCAAACACCAGAAAGTAACCCATCCATTCTGAGATAATCACGTCCACTTTAGGAGTCGGCAATTCTATCTCCTCTACCTTCCCTTTCAAAACCGTTATGACTGCAGAATCGAAAAGCTGTTAACTTTACTGCAGAACTTAAGTTTCCAATTTGTTTGGGAACACCAAAAGATGAGAAAATAAAAGACACTACCATCAGAGAATCCATTCGTTTCAACAATCTCCTTGGCCATGTCAGCCATATGAGAACATTCAACCTGTTCAAGGATTATTGTCAACTACATTTGTCCGAATTATTCAGAAGCAAACAGCACATGCTTACAATAAGAGAGATTATCTTATGGAAAAGGAAGATATATAGATTTATAAAAAAAAAGGGAAAATAAGGAAAGACATACTGCATAAACATGTCTAGCCCCAGCCTTGGCACAGAATAGGGACAGGATTCCTGTCCCAGCTCCGACGTCAAGAACGATCTTGTCCTTGAACAGAAATTTGTTTTGGTAAATGACGTTCTGATAAGTCTTGGTTCTCACCACATCCTTTAACATTTCCTATAAGATACCAGGATTCAGTCATTCACCAGATGAGATTGAATCGAACTTTTTATTGTCAACATCGAAGGTGTTGACAATAGCTAGAAAAGATGGCGACACTGGAAAAAAACCAAAACAGCCGAAACACCCAAGACATAATATAGCTTTCCCATCACAAGCCCAGCGTACTTACTTCATGGATACCTGCAAAATGGAAACAATAGATACAGAGAGTCAACATTTCGCAAAGAACAACACAAATGTAAGCAACATAACCAAAGACATCGCCCGCAATTCTGCTATACAAAAACTTAACCCTCTTGTCCACTAAGAAGCAAGGCATTTCTTGAATATTCGATAATCCTCGTTAACGAAAATACAAGATTTCATGACGAAACCATGAGAGAAAGAATCACATTTCTCCGACCAAGCCAAAAACACGTTCTTTCTCCCATCAGCTTCAGAGAAATTCAACTTCGACAAACATCAAACCCAGAGAAAAAGGCGGGATTGTAGAAGGATATACCGAAATGGGAGTAAGAATCAAAGTAGTAATCAGCGCTGGTTATGTCATCAGTGACGTCATCGGCATCGGCGCCGTTGCCAGCGTCGCACATGGATTCGTCCCGGATGGCTTCGTCGACATTCGAGCAAGTGGCGACCTCCTCAGCAACCTCGTCTTCGTCGGCACCTTCAAAGCGAATCTTCGTGTTCTTCGTACGACCCATCGCTGCGTTTGGCCTTACACGAGAGAGAAGATTTAGGGCTTTAGGAAGAGGAAGAAGAAGAAGCGCAAGATTAGGGTTTTAGGAAGAAGTGTGCGCTGGAGCGTTGACGGTTGACGGATTTTTAAACCAAAATATTCGTTAAACTTAAACTCTCCATTGAGATATTTTTTATAGCCGCCGGACCGGAGCCGGTTTATTTTTTATTTTTTACCACTCCGGTTCGGACGACGTCATTGAGAGGTTTTTTTATGGGCTTTACGTTCAGATAATAAAAGGCCCATGGGCTATTATCCTTATATCTATCACTGGCCCAATACAATTTATCTCCCTCGCCCTCCCCCTGTGTCGTCGATCGTTGCTCGGCCGGTGTCGCTTCTCCTCCGCACCTGATTCTGCGACGAGCACGCCGTAAGGTATTTTCAACTTCCTAATATCATCATTTCTTTCTCTGATTCTCGGTTATGTGTAGATTTCTTCGAAGTTTCGATCTTTAATTTTTAGGGCTTTCTCTCTAACTCATTTTGTTCATATTTGTTGTTCTTTCGGATTGTGATGTTTCTATGCACGATTCGATTTTTTTTATCCAGGTTTTATGGGATTTGGTTTTGCTTGTTTGATCCAACAGTGGAGTTTGTTTAGATCTGTCGTTTGTGTTTTAGGGACTAGGGTTTTAGTCTTCTAGATAAGGTCAATATGAATGCGACGAGGTAAAGATTTGCTCAAGGATTAGACACCAGAAATGAGTTACGATTCTGATCTCTCTGGAAAATGTTTACGTTTGGGAACTAATTTCGGTATGCTATTCGTTGGAAATGGGTCACAAGTTGCCTTTCGTTGGAAAGATTTTTGTTTCTACAGATGAACACAATGATGTAAATATCAGCTTAGGGTACAATGGCAATATTGTGGAGTTTTCTCCTCTTGGGGTTTGTTCTTAATTCTGAATCCTGTAAAGTTGAATCGGGTTTCTGATACATTTTTTTTATATAGTTAAAGGATTTGATTCTCGAGATGGCGTCAAAGTTAGTACAACTTCAATCAAAGGCATGTCAGGCTTCGAAATTTGTGGCCAAGCATGGGACTTCCTACTACAAGCAGCTGTTGGAGCAAAACAAGCAATATATTCAGGAGCCGGCCACCTTGGAGAAATGCAATGAGTTGTCTAAGCAATTGTTTTACACCCGTCTGGCTAGGTTGCTATATCTTCCTCTTTCGTTCTGGCCCTTTTCTGATTAGAGCGAGATTTCACCAAATGCATGCATTATATTTCTGCATTTTCAGTTTCGAGGGATTGAAACTTTAGCAAATGATGGATTTTCCGGATAGTTAGGTTACATTACCCACAGATAGTTAAGCCTTATCATATGAATTTTCACAGATCTGAAACTAATATTACTTAGAGCTGTAAGTCTAGTTTCTCTTCTATGGTTTACCGGTTTCATTTGAGGTTGTGTTATGTTTTCTGTTACATCTGGTTCGAGCTGCTTTTCCATGTCCCAGGAGAACATTTGGGTAGTAAAGGTTGACTTCTATGAAGTTTTAACACTCCCTACTAGTTCATTTTGCAACTCGTGAATTTCAGACAATACGAAGAATTTTTCCACTGATATGTTTTCTTTATATGTATACACACTGTTCTCACATTATATCACATCTATGTTGAGAGTGTCATTTCATGACAGTAGTTATAGTATGTTCGACTGATTTATTATTGTTCATCTCCTTGAAGCATCCCCGGGCGATGTGAATCGTTCTGGAAGGAAGTGGACCAAGTCAAGGGTTTATGGAAGAACAGAGCGGACCTGAAGGTGGAAGATGCCGGGATTGCTGCTTTGTTCGGACTCGAATGCTTCGCTTGGTTTTGCGCAGGTGAAATCGTCGGCAGGGGATTCACCTTCACCGGATACTACCCTTGAAGGGGATTCACCCTTTCTATTGTAAGCTCCTCTCTTTCAAATTTCCTTCCTGTGATTGATCACAGCCATTTTCGTATTCCTTCTTTCCCT